AAGATATAATAGAAACATTTAATCGACTAAACTGAGCCTACGTATTCATGACTAAGTGCAGTTTCGTTATAATTATAGGTGCTAAATGCAGTTCGASATCATCTGTTCGAAGGCGAAGATTCCCATACGATAATTTCACTATTCCCACCCTAATGAGTCGTTTAAAAACCATGTATTTTTCCATATCACCAACTTTTTTCTTAGTAAACCTCCACTTCAATTATGAAACTAAACCCGTTTGCCGGAAAAATGAATTTGCAAATAATTTTGAAAATGTTTGAATAAATTGCATTGCACAACTGGTAAATAAACTTTAAGACTTCAGTATCGCGTTGTTATCGATTATTTGAATAGAATATTAATAAATAATAACATGAATAAATAGTAATCATCTTAATAACATCAGCACCGTCACCAGGTTCAAAGATAAAGTATTAAATTATACAATTGCAAATAATATTCCATTAGTAACCGCTCGCCCACGCAACTATATATACACATATTATTATAATAACCTCATCTTACACGCGCGTGGGACCCCGGCCATAGTCCACCGGCTGTGGCAGTTTGTTAGCGACGTCCGCCGTCACACCTTGCTCGCCCGACACGCCTCGAGAAACATATTATAGCGCTTAGAAAAAACGAGGTATCAAATACCTATTTACTATTATTTGTTATGTACAATATGTGATTGTTTTCGGATTTCCACATCGCCGCCGCCACCGTAAATCTCTTATATTCGGAGTGAACAATATTGTAATCGCACAATGGATCGTATACCTATAGTTTCCAAAATGTTGTCGATTACTACAATGTTTCATACAATCAGCATGAGAGAGATAGATAGGTTAATTCTAGCGCATTAGAAATATTATAATATCAAAATAACTAAAAATGAAATCGAACCTATATAATGGTGTACCTATCTGGATTCTAGACTAAGGTTTAAAATTTGGTTCTGTAACATTAAAAATCTAGTGTTATATTTAGGGGATTATATTACAATATCGTGTATAGCACAGTGTCACAGTTATATAGTATATCACGACGGGCCTCTTATCATCGAGTTTACTTGCGATAACCAGGTAACAGAATCAAGAAAAAAAGTTTTCAGACTGTCCCAGAAAAAAAATTTAATTTTGAAAATTCTCTGTAATATTCCCAARRCTGGGASTTTATAAGGAAGATCATAATTTTTATGTATCATATTTTTCAAATGTTTCAGTGTCTTATTTAATTTTAACAAGTATATAATAAAAATTATACACTTAAACGTCAGTCGTCAGTGTAAAGATTAGATTCGAAATATTCCTTATTCCCTGCAGATACGATAAACAACTTAAATAGTTTTCTGTTT